TATATATATATATATATATATATATATATATATATATATATATATATATATATATATATATATATATATATATACATAACATCGCATTAGCAATAAATTTGTAAAAGTTATAATAAAAATCACAATATTTTTTTATTATTGACATGTTTTGTAGTCTTACTACATTTTTAAAAGATTTAATTTGCAATTAAAACTCTGGTAAATAAATTTAAAAACTGAAGACAATACAGAGAAATAATTAACGGACAAATAAAATTGTTACAAACCAATTAAAAATTATATTACAAAATATGACATAATAAACTTCCTAATATTAAAATAATAATAATAGCTATAATAATTATGATAATAAAAATAATAATAATAATAATAATAACAATAATAATAATAATAATAGTGCAATTTAAAGTTTTTTCATTTATTTATAAAATTGTACTTGATAAAAATAAATAAAAATTAACATTTTGAATATTTATTGATTATTATGATAAATTATATAAAATATATATAAAGTATTAATATTTTGCAAAAACAATTTTATTTGCAATAACTGCTTCATTGCATTGTGGCATGCTTGCAATTTATTTTTTATAGTTTTTGTCAACTCTGGGTTATTATGCTAGATCTTGATAATCATTTCCATAAGATCTTGCTTATTAGTAAGATTTTTTTTTTATAATCTCTTGCTTTACTATTTCCCAAATATTTTCTATGGGATTAAGATCATGCGAGTTGTCTGGCTATAGCAATACATCAACTAGCAAGTTGCACCATCTTGCATATAAGATTTTTGACATTAATTTAAAATTTTTTTGTCAGTTTTTGACATTTTTGGCTGGACATCAACCCTCTTCTTTTAGCCTTCTACAAATGGTCCGGTCCGACACAACAATTACAGCTTCGTGAATAAGCTTAGTGGCTTTTTTTCTCTTTTCCAGGCAGATATTTCTGATTATACTGTCCGCTCTTGGTGTTTTCTTGCGTTTAGAAGGTGGTCTCCTTGGACCAAACTCTTCCCCTGTATCAATTCTTTTTCTTACTTGCATTACGGTTTGGTAAGAAACCTTTGCGGTTTGTGCAATTTTTCATTGAGAATAATTTGTATTTTGTGAAAGACATGTTTATCAATTTTTAATGTAACTATAATAATAATAACAATGTATAATGCAGGTTGTTAACCAATGGTTTATAATCAAAGTTTAATATGGCTGGCGGTAAAGGTAAAGAGAAGTTTAAAGGAACAAACATTAGGTATTTACTTGTAAGTTAAGTGTAAAATTATATATATTTAAAGTTCGTTTTTTTAATGCTAATTTATTTTTCTAACTTTTTGATGTATTTGATGTAAATTACTCAGGCAATACCTTTTTCATAGAGAGCGTTTTGTCAATTAAAGTGACTGCTACAGTTGCCGAAATAAGAAAAGGAATAATGACTTTATTAAAACACGCACTCGACAGATCAAATGGTGGTGGTCGGCGTGTAAAAGGCGATTCACCCGATGTATAATATTCATACTTTATTCCTAGTTGTTCTGGAACTATTGATAATAGTTATTATTGATAAATTGATAAATATATTACTGATAAATAAAACTTTTTGTTTTTCAAACATTTTACTTTATTTGCATTGTATATAAAGTCCGTTGAAGCAATTTAGTTGTATCTGAATTTACGTGAAATATAATATCCTCTGCGCAAACTATTGCTTTTTTGTTGTATTATTTAATTGCAATTAAAGTTGAGATAATTTTTTAGTTATTGGATTTAACCAAAATAAAATACAAAAATCAACGTTGAATTTACGTTGTTTCAACGGTGTTCTAACATCTTATCAACTACGTATCAATCGAATATATCACCTATTCAAAGTTGAAATATGGTTGATATGTAGTCGATAAGACGTTAGATCAACGTTGAAACGACGCAATCATCGACGTAATCATCGACGTCGAAAACTACGACGTTTCAACGTCGTTGTTTTCGACGTCGGATTTTATTTCCAATTCAAATAAATTTTAACGTTGTTTCAACGTGGTATATGGTCGGTTTGCGACGTTGTTTCAACGTTATTTCAACGTCATTGTGCCTGCTGGGTATATATATATATATAAGGTATATTTGTATAAACATTTGAAGAATCATTTGACAACATTTTTTTATAATTTTATTATTTATCATTTCAACTGTTAACAGTTAATATCTTAAATATATCGTAACATAAAATCTTTTGCGTCTTTTTTGTAACTAGACATTCCGGAATGCTTTTTCCGTAAGGAACTATTTCGTAAGTGTTCTTACGAAATGATTTGTTTCGCAAGTTTTCTTTCGCAATGCTTTATTACGGAATTTTATTTATTTATATTTTCGTATAGCACGTTACGGAATGTGCATTTTTGCATGTGCAACTTCCGCAATAACAATTCTATTACGGTAGATAAAGATGCGAAATTTTCGCAAGTTTTGTTTTTCGGCGAACAACCCTAGTTAAATATTGAATTTAGTTAAAATATTAAGGTTAAAAATTAGGAAGGAAGAAAGTATTATTTAAGGAGTTTAACTAAAAAATAAAGGAAACATTTTCTTAAGTATATATGTACTACAACAGCTATTTCGTGGCCTTATAAATATGTTGAGATCTTTATTCTTTTAAAATTTAACATTAATTCAACTTTAATCAATGGTTACAATATTAGAACATACCATTTTCAATAGTTACAACATACCATTACAACATTACAACATACTATTTAATTTAATAAACTTTGACATAACTTTTAAAACATAAGGAGTGGGAGTTAAGGTTAGTTTTAGTCTAACTAAAAATACTTAACTAAATTTTTAGTCTAACTAAAATTAGTTAACTAAAATTAGTCGACTAACTTATTAGTTAACAAAAATTACGCGACTAACTTTTTAGTTAACTAAAATGACCCGACTTACTTTTTAGTTACTAAAATTAGTCGACTAACTTTTTAGTTGGCTAAAATTACCCGACTAACTTTTTAGTTAACTAAAATTATGCAAATAACTTTCTAGTTAACTAAAATTACCTGGCTAACTTTTTAGTTAACTAAAATCACCCGACTAACTTTTTAGCTGACTAAAATCACCCGACTAACTTTTTAGCTGACTAAATTTAAGCGACTAACTTTTTAGTTAACTAAAATTACCCGACTAACTTTCTAGTTAACTAAAATTACCCGACTAAATATTCAGTGTAACTAAATTTAGTCGACTAATTTGAATTAATTAAAAAGTCGCTTAAAAATTTTACACATAAGGAAGCATTATTAGGGCGATAAATATTATTTTATCGTAATTAAACACTTTACTAGTTGAATCTTAGAGCCCAGTCGAACTAAACTGTTATTTAAAAGAAATTTTTTAAGCAAAATTCGATTATTTTAATTTTTTCCAGCTCTGAGAAAACTGCCTATGAAGTTGTTGCAACTGTTTATAAACACCCAATCAGTATGGAATATACAAATAATGCCCTTTAGTCAATTATATCAAATTTGGTACGCTTATTAAACGTTTAACTTATATTTTTTATGTGCTGCTTCCTATAAGTAGTACGCAATAACAATCGCAAATCAAAAATAATCTCTCCTGCCAAGGCCGTACCGACGTGAGTATAGGCACCTCCCCGGGGTTACAACATTCTGTGGGTTTTGTCAGTAACTTTGAAAATTTGAGACTCGGTTGGTTAAAACTGCACCCCACCTCCTTCCTCCCCCTACATCTTTGTTGTTCAGTACAGCCCTGTCCCCTGCCATATTATAGGAATGGATCAATCTCTAATTTTCAAAACAAATCTATGACTCCCCCTCCCCACCTCTTCAAATATCAACCTCTCCTAACGGCTATTATAACCCGCAAACACTAGGGTAAGGCAGGCAAAAGTATTGACATGAACCCAAAAGGAAATCGTTAAATAAGTTATTTTGAATTTATTTTTTTTTGCTTTCAGAGTATAGTTGTTCGTCAGTTGGCGATACTTGCAAAATTTAAAAAGAAAATTGGTGTTTGCATTTTTGAATGCAATATCCGCAATATAAGATGTTGAATAGTGTATATAATGTATTAAATAATACTTAACTGTTGAATAACGAAAACATTTTATTAAGTAAATGCAATACGTAGTTTTTAAGCACTTTAAAATATGTCTAAAACCGGGTCGAAACAATTATCAATTAAAATTCAATAACTTTTATATTATATTCATTTTTGTATTTTTTCATTAGATAAATGTTTAAAAAAATACTAAAGAATATATAAATAAATATTAAAAAAAAAAAAAACCAAAAGGTAAAAAAGTTTGCTATTTTAGGCAACATTATAATAAAACCGCACGCTCAAGAACATTAAAATCACACACTAATTTTTTGAATTTTCAATTTTTTCTTTATCTTTTTTTTTAAACACATTTTAAATCAAAGTTGGAAACAAAGTTGACAACAATATTTTTTAAATTTTTACTACCTGAAATAGTGTCTAGAAAAAATGATCCTAACAACCTTTTGAGCGATGAAACATACTGCATTTGCAAACACCCAAGTTTTACACCAATGATTGGATGCGACGGAAAAAACTGCAAAATAGGATGGTCTCATTACAGTTGTATTGAAATAAAAAATGCCCCTATAGGTAAATGGTTCTGCAAGGAATGCATATAAATAAACTAAAGGATATATTATATTCATTAAATATCTTACTTTGTCAACAACATTTTGGCACTTTTTTCAGAAATAAAAAATCAATAAACTGTTAACAATTCTTATTATTTAGTAATATAAAATTTTCTACTCTCGAGTCTTTATTAAAAGGGTAGGGGGGATTTTTATTAAATTTTTGAAAACTTTCCCACCTACCTTAAGCTTATTAAGACCACTCTGTTTATTAATATTTACTAGTTATCAACAAAAAATTTCTAAAGCTATCGAAACTAAAAAAAATAACTCAGTGAAAATCGGCCTTATAATTTACAAAATATATACGAGTAACTAATAAATAATAAAACTTTTAGTATAAATTCTCACCCCCTACTTTTATTAGATCTTGACTAACCACCCCCTACCCATGGTAATAAGGACTCGAGAGTACTTGAGACAATCCAAATGTAAGATAATACAAAATAAAGTTAAAATAAAAAGTTTTTTCACTCCTATGAGCTTGGAGGAACAACACTACTGTTAATATTTACTAATGAAGTTATTATTACCATAACATCATCAAGTAAATCAACTTGAGTTAATGAGATAATGTTCTGAAGAATTCGAAATTTTCTTAACCGTCCAATTACCCTTTCAACATGGATTCTTACATGTGCAATTTGACGTGATTCATCAACTACAGCAGAAAACATCTGCTTTTTTCCTTTGGTAAACTTTGGTATTTTTAAAATCCCTCTTTTTGTAGCAAATTCATCAACAAGTGTAAACCCTCTATCAGCAAGTACACAATCTCCATGGGTTATTTTTTCTAAAAATCCAGATTTAATTGAAATTTCTTTATCTGAAACTCTACCACCCCATCCAGGGGATAAAAAACTTACACCACCTGATGGAGTTATACCAATGAGATATTTAATTGTGTTGTTGTTTTTATAATTTGACCAAGTTTGAGCTCGAGCATGAAGACTAAAAGGTCTTTCAATGAGTATTTCCATGCAATCAATTATTGCAACACAATTATAGAACTTTTTGCGAAAACTTGTTGGCAAATTTCTTCGCAAAACATGCTTTTCTGGCCAAACAATTAAAAACTTAACATTTTCAGTAATAATTGGAAGCCAAGATCTATATATTCTAGTGACTGTTGGCTCAGAAAAACCAAATCTAAAGCCTTTATTTAAAAATCCAAGTTTGATTTTTTATTAATATTAGCAATAAATGGTCTTCCATTGGTATATTTTTCATTGGTTTTACACAATCATTAAACAATGATAAATACCACAAAAATAAATTTGCATTTGGCAAACCAGTATAAAAAGATAAAAGTGAATTATCATCTTTTAGTTTTTCAAACAAAATATATTGAGAAACAGATGATGGTATAGCTTTGTTTATTGTAATCTTTAATTCAACATTATTTTTACTCAAAGTTTTGACTTTAGAATGTAGCTCAGCAACAGAATTAACATCATCAGTCTGAGATTCTAAAAACATAATTATGTAACCATTTATTTTATCAAAGAACGAAAGTAAAATCTTAAAATTAAACTAAAACTTATTTACCTTGATTTAATTTGAAAGGGTCGACTGATGTTTTACTGCATCCATATTAACTGACATCTGTTCATTTTCAGCTTTTGTTTGAGATAAATTATCTTCAGTATTTTTTTTTGTTCTTTTACAACTTCTTTCAAATCTTTCAATACTTTGATGTTTTTTTGAAAAAGATTGCTGTCTGTATAAAAAAACAGATGGAACATAGTCAGCACTATTAGGATTGTCTGATTTTTTGCCTAAAAATAGTGAAGAAAAAAATTAAAACCTTATTTATTTTATTAAAATAATGAACTTATGTCAAATTAAATAAAAACAAAGATAATAATAATATTATAAAAACTTCTAGTTATCAAAAGAAAAAAAAAAATTAAATACCTGAAATAAAATGTTTACTACATAATCTTGCGTTATCAATCATACTTATTGGCCAGTTTTTACGTTTTAAGGCTTGCAACCAAAAAACTCTTCTGTTTTTTGATGTTTCTGTATTTCCAAAAGGAATACGGTAAAAACCCAAGTTTTTATCGCCTTTTATCCTTTTATTCATACACCCATAGCACAACAACTGTCAGGCATTATATTTTAAGAATTTAAAAAAAACTTTAATCTACTTAAGTTAGCAAGCAGATAAATTATATCAATGTTTGTTTAATAAACATTCTCAATGTTTGCAAATCGGTTTTTAAATTCCTGCCACCTAGTGCGCATGCAACGGAAATGTAAACATTGAAATTCATCTATACTATATCAAGAACCAAGTTCTGACTGTTTGAAAGACTTAGACATCGCAGAATCTCATGCATAGTCATATTTTTCGAAAGGAAAACCTATTAATAATACAGAGAGTTTATGGTGATAATTCAATATAATTCAATATCTTTAATTAACAACTTTTAGATTGTTCTATTCGAAATAATTGGACCAGTACATTAGTTAATGAACTTTTTGAAATATTACAATATCAAGTTTTGGAACTTCGCTAATAACCAATTACTTAACTTTAGTAATTAGTTATTAATGAAGTTCAAAAGTTTTGACTAAAAAATAAGTCTAATTGATAAAGTTAAATTAACCAGTCATAACAGTTATATAAGAGACATGAGGGTAGAAAATTTCCTTTACTCTAAAGGAAATTTTCTACCCACCTATCTCTTATATAACTGTATTAACATATGAATAACCACTATATCACATGTTGGAATGTTATTGGCAATTTACTAAGTAACCGATGAGACACACTCCTTAATTTCTCCTTTTTTTTTTATCTAGGAAATTTTATTAAAGTAAATGGATTATACTTATTATTAAAAAAATTATATAGTCCTTTGATTGATTGCAAACCTATATTTCTATTGTTTATATATATATATATATATATATATATATATATATATATATATATATATATATATATATATATATATATATATATATATATATATATATATATATATATATATATATTAGGGTAGGCTAATCGCCCCTTATTTTTGAAAATCAAAAGGCACTGTTTTCCATGTGGTGTGGGTGTACTCTGTGATCAATAAAAACCAAAGTTCAACTCATTTGCACAAATTTTGGACCCCGCTCAATGGGCTCAAATATCAAATTTTGGCCTCAAAAATCCATATAATGACCGGTAAGATAACCTTCAAAATAAAAATCTCAAAGGCACTGTTTTTTGATTGATTTTTTATGTTCATATGATCATTTTAAGCCTAACTTTATGATAATTGAATAAGACTAAGACTGTGCTCAAGAATTTTGGACCCTGAGGTCTGACCCGGTTTCCTTAAAAATTAACCGGTTTTTAAAACATTTTTTATTAAACGGTTTGTTTATTTTACTAAGATCGCGATAATTATAGACGTCCTATGCAGTAATTAATTTTTTCGCATAGAAAAATCGTTGAATAATTTTAGTTTTAGATAATTATGGGAAAAGACACAAGATCAAAATATAAAGTTTTTTTGATAAATGATATTATCGAAATACTATCATCATCTCAATTGCCTACTGGAGAGCAAGTTCTGCAATATTTACATGGCAAACTATTCAAAGCAAGAAAAGAAAATTTAAAATATAGACTCTGTGATATGATTTCTTGCAAATTTCCACATGGGAGTTTTGAAATTGGTTACAATAACCCTGGAGGGTGTAGTTTTCTTAAAAGCACATGTGTTGTTTCGTCACTGAAGAAAATCTGGAAAAGAAGTGCAATCCCAATAGTAGCTGACCAACATATAAGGTAAATAATAATTGTATACACAGTATTTGTTTATTTTTAAAACTAAAACTTAAAGAATCTTACTGTAAGAATAAAATGTTGTTTCTTTATATAGAAGTAAGATATTGTGCTTGGAAGATCGTAGAAAGAAACTATCAAAGAACAAATTACGTGACACACCACACAATTTAAGAAAAATAGACGCTTACAAACTTGAAACAAAGTGCTTGTTTGATATTAGTGTGAATGATGCACAGCAAAAAATTCTATTGAATAAGCAAGTCACTAAAAAGGAAAGAAATATTGATATAAACTTTTTGAATGATCAACGAGTAGAACGTAAAGCTGTCATGGGTGGAATAGACAAGAAGTACTTATTTACTACTCGTAGAAAGCAAAAGGGGATTGAGTTTACCAATAAGAGAATGACTACTTCAAATAGTAACAGATTAGCTTCTGAATTTATAACCAATTTAACTTTAAATCAGGTTAGAAATAGCAGTGTAAAAGCACAGAACAAAGAGGATAATCAAGATTTTGAATATCAAAGGGACTGCAAACAAAGATCTCATAAGAGAAAACCAGATTTTGTTGAAGTTATGCTACCTAGAAAAATCTTAAAGGCCACTGCTGTTACAGCAAAGAGATACGGTATTCAGAGTTCAGCGCATACCGCTACATTGGCTAATGTCATCAACTCAGCAGGCGGAAATCTAAAGGACTTTGATATTTCTGTTACGTCAGCAAAGGTTCATTCAAGTGCTGTAATTAGTGAATATGGTTTAAAAGTTAAAGAAGATTTTATTGTAAAAGCTAAGGGGAAACTACTTTGTGTTCATTTTGACACAAAAATAGTAAAAGAGTATTTTTATGGTGCGAATATAAATGTTGAGCGGTTAGCACTAGTGATTTCAAGTCCTAGTATTGATAAAGAACAACTTATTGGAGTTCTTTCTATCACAGATAGTCGTGGAATAACACAAGCAAAAGCAATTAAGGAAATACTGGAATCTTGGAATCTCTGGGATTCGGTACATAGTGTATGTTTTGACACTACATCTTCAAATACAGGTGAGAAAAATAAACTCAATAAAATAATAAAGACATTTTATGACATTTTGTATTATGATATTTTTGTATTTTCATAATTTTTATTTAAAAAATTTCACATTGAATAAATGAATTAAATTAAGGCTGGATGCAGGGTGCCTGTGTATTGCTAGAAAAATGGCAAGGCAGACCATTACTATGGTTTGCCTGCAGACATCACATATATGAGCTTCATATTAAGGTTAGAAACAGAACTATTAATTAATTTTATTCTTGGTTTGCTCATATAGCCTTTTCCTAATCTCATTTGTCATTATCTAGCATGTAGCACTTGCAGTTTCTGGAAATATGTCTGATGGACCAGTTGATAAATTCAAAATTTCTGGGAAACTATTAAGCCTGACATAAATTTAAACAATCTTAACAGGTTTGAATGGAGCAAGAGAAAAGGAACATTTTTAGAAGAACAGGTAAGGAGAATTGCTTATTTCTTTTTTCTGAAAATTTTTAAAACAAAATAAACTTATTTGCATTATATTTTTTCAAAGGCTCTAAAAACCAAAATATATCTTGAATACGCCTTGTTTACAGAAAAGTTTTCTCGTGGTGACTATAAGCATTTAGCAGAACTTGTTTTGCTTTGGCTAGACAGTGATAAGCTTGGAAATTTTAAGTTTCGTAAACCTATAGCTTTTCATCATGCAAGATTTCTTTCAAAAGCTATCTACTACATGACAATAGAACTGCTTACATTTCATTTGCAACAATTTGATATAATTAGGGAAGAAGAAATAGCAACAGTCCCTCAAATTGCTGAGTTTATTGGGCTTTTTCATGCAAGATGGTTTCTGAAAGCACCATTGGCAGTTTCTTCTCCTTCTTTAGACTTATGTGCAATCAGGGATATGACCAAGTATGGATCATTTAACAAAACTGTGTCAACTACTGCTATTAAAAGTATTAAAAATCACTTATGGTTTCTTACAGAACGAAATGCTGTGTTTGCTCTTTGCGACGAAACACTTGACAACAACATTAGAGAAAAAATTGCCAAAAAGCTATTTTTATATCCTAGACCTTCAAATTTAACATTGGGAAAACCACTTTTTCCAAATATTGACATAAAAAAAATTCCAGAGTTATGGCAACTGGTTGGACCTCAAAGTTGGATTCTCATTCAGCAGCTAAATTTATCTGTAATAGAAACAGAATGGATGCAAGTTAGCTCCAAGTAAATATTTCTCATAAATTATTTCTTATGTTATTTTTTGGCATTTTTAAAATATTTTAGGATAACTATTTTATTTTAGAGATTGGAATAATTTCTCAGGATATAGAGTTCTGAAAACATTCGTAGAAAAATTAACAGTAGTAAATGATTGTGCTGAGAGAGGAGTAAAGCTCATCCAAGACTTTACACACATTTGCCAGGATGAGGAGTTAAAGCAATCTTTGATGATTTCAATTTCAAATCACAGACAAAAGTTTTCAGTCAATTCCAAAAAGAATTTGTCTGAAATTCTTTAACATGCAATTGTTACATGAAATTGGTTATATGATTATTAAATATCAAAATATATATCAAAAGTTGTTATTTCATATATTTATGCCAGGTTTATTTATAAAAAATTTCATTTCTATAAATAAAAATTTTAATTTTTACTAATAAATATGGAAAAATAAGCTTTCTAAATACGTATATGTGCATAATTATTAGGGTAGGCTAAACGCCCCTGATTTTTAAAAATAAAAAGGCACCGTTTTCCATGTGCTGTGGGTGTACTCTGTCTCTGTGTACGTCTGAAAACGATTTTATTTTTTAGTTTTGATTTGTATACAAATTAAATATTGCAGAACTCGATCTCTATAAGATAGTTGAGAGGGTGTTCTCTATATTTCTAGAGAATTTAATAAAGTCATTTATCAAAAAAACTGATATTTTGATTTGATGTCTTTTCCCGCTTTGTTTTAAATAATATAATGTAATAGGTTATTAATAATAAAAATATTTTTTATATACTGCTATATAAATATGTCATACTTTAACTTAAATAATACACAAACAAACACTTTATTCAGTGATTCAATTCAATTCAAGTGAACTTTTTTGTTCAAAAAGTTAAAAAAATTGTATAAAAATTGAAGGGGGGCGGCATATTCTCCACCCCTGCCTAACCTTCCCAACAACTTCAATCTTATTTAATATAATGCTTTTATTTGTAAATAATTTTGTTATCTAAAAAAAGTAATTACAAATAAAAAGTCCCCCTAAAAATTTGCAATCCATCCCAATATAATAAAAAACCCGGCAGTTTTAAAATGTTGTAGAAACCGGGTGTTTTTTTAAGAAACCAGGTCAAAAATTTAGTCCTTTTAATGCTTGTAGACAGCCTAAATCTTATTGAATTACGATGGGAATAGGCTTAAAATAATCGTAAACTTCTAAAAAATCAGATGAAAAGCATTATTTTTTTATTTTTATTTTTTAAGGGTGTTTGAACCGTCGCAATTCGAATTTTTGTAATAAAAATTCGATCTTTGAGCCCATTGAGCGGGGTCAAAAAATTATCCAAATAATTCAAATTTTGTTTTTTATTGGTCACAGAGTACACCCACAGCACATGGAAAACAGTGCCTTTTGATTTTCAAAAATCAGGGGCGTTTAGCCTACCCTAATATATATATATATATGAATAAATGATTTTAGCCCCCTTTAGTATGAAAACGTCCAACTGTGCTATAGTTGCACTTTACTTAACTGAAAATGCAGTGACCTCAGCTTTTCTAGAGTTATATTAACTTCAGCCCCCAATTTAAATAACATGCTATGCAATAACAAAACAAAACTACCTCCGAACTCAAATCCGGGTGTTTACGAGCTTCAATGCTCATGCGGATGTATATTGGTGAGACCATGGAAGTATAAAACAGATGGAAGTTCAACCGCATTGAAATTCTTCGGGACTATGCTTGTAACCTTTTGTTTCGTAAACAATAAGAAAACGACATCAAGACTGTACTTAAACGCTTAATCTTTATACGTTGACGCAAAGAGATACGTTTATAATAATTTAAAAATATAGTATTTTGGAGGTTCGCCAATAATATTCATGAAAAACATTAAAAATGGCGCAACGTAACGGCAGACAATAACTTTTTTATAAACTTTACATCAAATGAATGGAGTGCTACAAGAATTACTTAGAAAACAATTTTTTTGAATTTTTAAAAAATGTTTTAGTTGTCTTTTTTATCAAATGTCGTGTTATGACTTGAAGCAAGAAAAGAAGCTTAAACTAACATATGCTTTTAAAATCAAGTGGTTCTATTTAATTACCGAGTTTTAATAAAGCTTTTGTTGAATTATTGCAACTACTAATGGTTAAAAATTTGCAACATATCCCTAGAATAATTCATTTTTTAATGTTTTAATAAAGATCATTTCAGTGTATTTTGTTGTTTTTTTATCCAATGAAACTTGTTTTTTTTTAATTGTCGGTTACAAGCATACTCCCGAGACGACTTGAAATTGCTTTGATGTTTGCGGCTCGATGAACTTCCATCTGTTTTATACTTCCATGGTGAGACCAAAAAGAAAATCACTTCAAGAAGTGCGGAACACCAAAGAGCCTGTAAAATTCAAAAATGGCGGAGTTCAATATATCAAAATTCAAATTAACATAAATAATTTTTTAGAACTCAACCATAGCAGCCGGAAGCGAAAACGACTCCATAAAAATGAAAAGGTTGGGAAACAGATCACAGGTAACAAAAAAACAAGTATTGAGTTGGGATTTTCCAAATAACTTTATTTAAAAAAATATTTATGCAACTGTAAAAGTTATTTTTGCTATAATATGTGTTTTAAATATAAATTCTGAATATTCAGAAAATTAACGTATTTTTATAAACCAAGATAATGCATTCAATTCTTGCTACGTCGCTATTTTTAATGCTAACTTATTTCGAAACCCTATAAAATTACATGCTCAGATCAACCACTAAACGCGCATTATGATTGGCTGATTTTGAAAATGAGGCATGTACGCATTGTGTTGAAGATACTACTAATGAGTATGTTGAAAATACTACGGATATATACGCCTAACATAGATTAGCTAAACAAAAGTAGATATTAAGATATATAAAAAGTAACAACAACTAAATTAATAGAGAAAAATGCAAAAAAATAAAATAATTAAATACTTTTTATATACCTAAATAGACGACATTTAAACTAAATAAATTTAAATTGATTTTTTTTCTTTCCATATAATATTGTAGGTAGAAAAATTATTTTCCATTTTCGGAACTTTTTCTTATAACTTTGTTTTTATTTCTTTCGGGTTTTTTATTTATTTATTTTTTTCGTTTCATGTTTTTTGTTTTTATTTTTTTAAATCCTTTATTTATGTTTATACACTTATTTTTTAAACTTTTATTACCAAAGTTTTTTTTTTATTATTTTATTCATAAAACTTTTGATATATGCATATATATATATATATATATATATATATATATATATATATATATAAATATATATATATAAATATATATATATATATATATATATATATATATATATATATATATATATATATATATATATATATATATATATATATATATATATATATATATATATATATATATATATATATATATATATATATATATATATATATATTCTTATTATCTTAATTCAAAGTTTACTTAAAATTTTTATTTTAGGATAATTTCAATAAGTTAGTAAATAGCATACTTTAAAAGCTGGAAAAATAATTTACTTATTGAAAAAAATATATATTTTTCATAAATAAAATACTTTAAAATGCTTTTGTGACCTATTTGTAATATAAAATTATTTTTATTTTAGACTTTTTTCCTGGCAGCAAGAAACAAAAGAAAATCCAGGAAAATGAGGAAAGTATGAAAAAGAAATCAGATTGAGATATTTATTAGTTTTATTTATATTCTTATTACAATTATAACTATTTATTAAAAGAATCATTTCTGCTTATCAGTTTTGGTAATATATTTTACATAATCTTGTATAAGCTGGACAGGTCTTTTTGCTGTATCATTTATAGATTTCAATGACCTCTTATTGAGGAGTTATTTTAAATTAAGCCATGAAAGATATAGATAAGAACGTAAAACCTCTCCATTAGTTAGTAGTTAAGTAAATATCATTACTGGAAGAGTAGGTAATAATTTTCTAAAAAGTTTATCAATCTTCTCATCATTTTTTCTCAATATTATATTACTCATATCTGGCAAAAAACATGCTACCATTCCTATTGATATAAAAAGTAACTATAAGTTGTACAAGTTAAAAGTTATATAATAGAAAACAATTATATTAATAGAAAATTTCTTATGTCAAAATTGCAAATATGTATGTATAGTTTAATATTGCAACTCTGAGTTACATGTGTTACCACAATTGTTGTAGGCGGGGGCTTTTTTCAGGATAGACAAAGTTAATTCTCGTATTTCTTTCAGTTTTTCCCCAGTATCCCATATATTTTTTCAGAGAGTGATTGCATTTAAAAGTTTCTTATTTTAAAATGATTGCTTGTGGTTTGCATACCTCTTTTTCCACACTCTTTCTGATAAACCAATGTACGATTTACTGGGTGTGTTTGGGGAAGATGTTATGCATTTGTAAATGATGTTTGTCGCTCTACAATTTTTATTCAGCGGGCAGATTTCTTTTTGTTTGCAATTACAAGGGAGATATTCAGTGGTGTTAACTAAATTTATTTTTTTGTTAACGCTTTTTATTATTTTTGAAATGTTGCTTGAGCAGCTGTTGCTAATTTTTGTAGTGTTTCGATTGAATAGTATATGCAATGGATTTGAAGGTGGGAAATGTTTATCTATTATTTGCAAAAAGATTACACCAACATTGGTGGAGACGCTTTTAATGTAGGGTGGGTTAAACCAAATTATATGCCTTTTTCTTTTGGGAGGTATTATATTTTTTGGGTTGTACTTTAAGTTAAAGTTTATAAAACTTTTTTATTTAAGCACTTCTTCGTATTCTGTTTTTAATGCGTTAAATAATTTTTTATTGGAAGAAATTTGCAATAGTCGATCATTAATGGATAGAGGGATCTGCTTAAGAATTTGGGGCGGGTGAAATATATATATATATATATATATATATATATATATATATATATATATATATATATATATATATATATATATATATATATACTATATATATATATATATATATATATATATATATATATATATATATATATGTATATATATATACATATAAATATATATATATATATATATATATATACATATATAAATACATATATTTATATACATATATACATATATATATATATATATATATATATATATATATCTATATATATATATATATATATATATATATATATATATATATATATATATATATATATATATATATATATATATATATATATATATATATATATATATATATGTTCGGCCGTGGCGCAGTTGTTAGAGCGTTTGCTTTATAAGGAGATTCAGGTTCGAAACAAGCTTTGGACATATTTTGCGTTACGATAAGGAAGGAGACGTGAACTTCCTGGTTAAATGCACTTCTACGGTGACAAGACCATAACGTCTTCTTGGGGCACCTAAGTAACTAACAAAAAAATATTTATATATATGTTTATTAAATCTGCAAAATGTTCTCTTCACATATAAAAGAAATAGCTATATTTGAAAATGATTTAATTAATCTAGTTAAAATTATTAAATTTTGTAAAGTGAACAATAAAGTTCAAGAAAAGCTTTCTAGCGATATAAAATCTTTGCACAAATCCCATAAAATTATAACTCAAGCCGAAAAATCCTCCAATATATACAGAATTTCTGAAAAAGAGTATAACCTCCTCTCTAAGAACGCCGTTAAATCTACATATAAAATAGCTGACCAAAATCTGAAAGATTGAATAAATATTGAAAATAAACACCTTTTAACTAATCATGATGTTTTCAACAGAATTGAATTAAATGGCACCTCCAGTTGTTTTATAACTCTAAAAAACCACAAGTATAATTTTTTAAACAGCCCTACAGTTCGCTTATTAAATCCTGCAAAAAACGAAGTAGAAAGAATTTCTAAAGTTATTCTATCTAAAATAAATAGTGATCTTAAAAAAAAAGTTTGCATTAATCAATGACTAAACTCACAATACGTTATAGATTGGTTTCAAAGTAATAAAGAAAAACATCTATACAAATTCTTAATTTTCGGTATAACTTGTTTTAATCCTTCAATTAATAAATATTTACTGAACAAAGCTATAATCTTTGCTGAAAAATACTTAATTGTAAAACATGATGAAAAAAAGTTGTACACCACGTCTAGAAATTATTTTTATTTAACAATATTGAAGCCTGGATTAAAAAAAGCGGAGGTTTATTTGATGTAACCATGGGAACCTTTGAAGGCCCAGATGTTTGTGAGTTAGTTGGAATATTTATCTTGTTTCAATTATCGCAGTCTTACAATAAAGATGAATTCGGTTTGTTTAGAGATGATGTTCTAGCAGTGTTTAAAAACAGATGGTAAAAATTGAAAAGCACGTTGTGAAAATTTTTAAAAATAATGATCTTCTTATACCATATGTTGTAATTTTAAAATTGTTAATTATCTAGACTTAATGTTAAATCTTAATGACTTCTTCTTTCCAACCTTACTGCAAATCTAGTAATTCATCACTTATGTAAATGCTGACTCTAATTACCATCCTAGCATACTAAAAAGCATTACTAAAACTATCAAACTAAGATTGTCAACCAATTCTTCTAACAAAAATATTTTTAAACAATCCATTCCTCCTTATCAAGATACATTATTTAAAAAGGTTTTTATCAGTAAATTCGTCTAACATTCAAATAAAAAGCTAATCCCATTCAAATATCAGAATCGAAATATAATCTGGTATAACCCACCTTTCAGTACCAATGTTGCAACAAAAAAAAGGCAGTTGTTTTTTTGAGCATGGCACGCTTTATGGTTGGTCACAAACTTCGTAAAATATTTAATCAAAATACCATTAAAATAAGCTACTGTATGCCAAAATGAAAATTAAAACAAGCTCATGTATGCCAAACATCAAGTCCATCGTTAATTCGCACAATCACAGGATATTATATAGCCAATGTAAAGATGAGGGAAAAACATGCAACTGTGTCAACAAATGCATCTGTCACATGAACAATCAGTGCTTGACGAAGAACATAGTTTATCAAGCCACCGTGTTGCCAAATAAACCTGACTACAAAGAAAAAGTATATTTTTGTTTATGTGAAACTCCATTCAAATCTCGGTATGCTAATCACCTGAAATCTTTTATCATTAATAAACATAAAAATGATACCGAGTTATCTAAAGAAACTTGGGACAAGAGAAAAAATGTTTATGTCGTTAATCAAGTGAAATATTGTAAAACGTTTCAATCCTTATAACGCCTCATCAAAATCTTCGCTTATTCAAATAATTTCTTATTTTAACATATACATAAGGGAATGTCTTGTTAGATAAACAAAATGAAATGATTTCAAAATGCAGACACAAGAATAAATTCCTCTTATCTATTTTTGACACCGGTGATAAGCTAATATTTTGTTGTTTTTTTTGGTTTCCATCAAGTATGTCTTAGCGACGAAAAGACCCCACCACACAGTATTTGATAATTTTTAGCGGGTTTTTTTGTTTTTGATTTTGTATTTCATGGCTGATGATTTCCGAATCGGCATGAAACTTTAAGTACCATAGAAAAAGTTGATTTTTCTTCGCTAATATATAAATATAAATATATATATATATATATATATATATAAATATATATATATATACATATATATATATATATATATATATATATATATATATATATATATATATATATATATATATATATATATATATATATATATATATATATATATATATATATATATATATATATATATATATATATATATATATATAATATATATATATATATATATATATATATATATATATATATATATATATATATATATATATATATATATATATATATATATATATATATATATATATATATATATATATATATATATATATATATATATATATATATATATATATACTACAAGGGTAATACTACAAACATGCTACAAGGGACTGTTGCTAAATTGACTATCTTATAGCCTACTGCTGCAAATAAGTGCCGCTACATCGACTGAGGGTTTGGCATGGAGCAGCAATATTTTTTTAATTTTTATTTCAATTAACATTTTTAATGTTTAAAAAATCTCTACTGACGAGAGCGCACCAAGCGAAAAAATAAAATGATTTAACATCATTATTCTGCAACATTAACATATATATAAGTATATACATTGTGTAAAAAAGTTTTTATCCACCTATTTTGTACAATTTAAAATTGCAATAACTTTTTATTTAGCAAAGATGTAAACATGGTATAAACTAAATTATATCAATTAAACATTTAAGAAATATTGTACAAAAAGATTTTTTAAAGTAATGAGTAACAAATAAAATATAGCGTTTTGGAATGAAAGATATGACATTTTTTGTAGAAAAAAAGTTTTCATCCATTTTAATCCATATTTCCATCAATGAAAACCAAGTTTCCTACACCCGAAACACTTATACACCCCCACACTAAAACACTTCCTTTACCATGCTTCACTGTTAGACACAACTTTTGTTTTTTAAATGCTTTATTTGCTTTTCTCCAAACTTTAACCCTTCCATCTCATGAAAACACATTAAATTTTGACTCATTGCTGAAAAGGACCGATTCCCATAATGTCTGTGATTTATTATTATGGAGATTTGCAAAGCCATTTAGCCATTTGGATTTTGATAACTTCGCTGATGTAGGGCTTTTTCAATGGTACTCCACCATTGTATTTTTTCTTGTTCTAACAGTTTCAGGATCCACTTTTCAATTGTAATCATTATGCAGTAAGTTTAGAAGCACTTATTTTAGGGCTCTGGATAACTGTTCTCAAAAAGCTTGTCAATGCAATATTTGAAATTTATTTGGATGCCTTGTAGGTGGCTTATCAGAAATTATTTTTGGTGGTTCGGTATTTCTTGATATTGGATTACAAAGTTGGATGTAATTTCTTTACTACTTCTCCTATATTTCGCTGTAATTTTTCCTCATTCCATAGTCTAACAGTAAGCGATCTAATGCCCTCTTTAACTTATTTAATAACTAATGTAACAAAAATAAAAATTACAAAAAACTCATATTAAGAAAAAATTATTTAAAAATCTTGCTGAACCTAATTTTTATTTAAAAAATGTTACTTTACAACTGATTTAAAAACAAATTGAGGTGGAACTGCATGCCAAAATAAAAAAATTGCAGAGTGGATGAAAACTTTTTTGGCTCAAAAACCAGCATTGTTCATTTTTAAATGCTGTATTTAAATTTTTATTCGATATTTTGTAAAATCTATTTTTACAATACTTCTTGAATAGTTAACTAATATAATTTAGTTGAAATTATGCGTATATATTTGCTTTAAAAAGATATCGCGTTTGAAAAATGTACCGGGATAGGTGGAAGAAAACTTTTTTGACAGAGTGTTTATATTCATATATATATATATATATATATATATATATATATATATATATATATATATATATATATATATATATATATATATATATATATATATATATATATATATATATATATATATATATCGAGGAATATTACACACCAATTTCATCAAAAAAGACAAAATAAAAACACAATTCCATTAGAATACAATAATCTTCCTGTAGTGTCTTTACCATGGGTACCAGGCCTTTCACCAAAACTTCGAAAAATATTCCGAAAAGCAGGGTACCGAGCAGTATTTAAATCAAACCCAAATTTAAGATCTTTATTAACATCAAAAAACAAATCAAAACTACCAAGTAACAGCCACCCTCGAACCTATATAATAAAATGTAACTGCTCCAAGGTCTACATAGGTGAAACAAAAATGCAGGTAAATACGCGAATGCATCAACATCAGAAGAGCATTAATGAAAACAAACCAAATCAATCTGCATTAGCATATCATAAAACCTTTTGCAAAGAAAATATTAATTGGGAAAAAACATTAAAAGTGGAAAATAAAAAGTTTGAAAGAAAAATTAGAGAGGCACTAGAAATACAAAACAACATGTGCTCTACACGAAACGGCGGAATTAATCTTGATGAAAGCCAATATGTAAAAACTATGTTTTGGACGCCATTTTTAAAATTTAAAAATCAAAAGAAGCCACGCAACCGCTGACGTCAATAGTAACAATTTTATATAAACTATAACGATTAAAAAATTATTGTAGTATTTTACAAGCTGATGATGCTGGTATCCATAACCCAGCGAAAATTTCTTACAAAATAAAATTATTAGTATTGAGAGAAACTGTATTTCTTGATGCTTTAAAATAATATATATATATATATATATATATATATATATATATATATATATATATATATATATATATATATAATATATATATATATATATATATATATATATATATATATATATACATATATATTTTGAAATAATAATATATTAACGATATTTGGCTGACCTAATTTCGTCAGTGTCATCAGGTAATGAACAAATGTTACAAAATAACAAAAAACCAACCGTTTAAAAAAGAAGACATTAAAAAGCGTAAAATGTAAAAACCATAAAAAATATAAAAATGACGTCAGTTAAATTTTTGTCAAAATTGGTCCCCAAGGTTTTGTTTTCACGTTATCCCCGTCATCTCTATTTAGAACAGTTTACCCAATACCTATCTCGTGTCAAACTTTTGCTTTATTTATCTCCAAGGATTCTCTAACTTTTTTTATCTTGTATTCTTGAGTGACTGCAAAGGTCTTAGGATTCAGCCAATCAATAGTACCACGGCATGTTCTAGAATGTTCTGTCGCTCCTGAACTCCACCATTTTTGAATTTTACAGGCTCTTTGGTGTTCCGCACTTCTTGAAGTGATTTTCTTTTTGGTCTCACCACGGAAGTATAAAACAGATGGAAGTTCATCGAGCCGCAAACATCAAAGCAGTTTCAAGTCGTCTCGGGAGTATGCTTGTAACGGACAATTAAAAAAAAACAAGTTTCATTGGATAAAAAAAAAACAAAATATACTGAAATGATCTTTATTAAAACATTAAAAAATGAATTATTCAAGGGATATGTTGCAAATTTTTAACCATTAGTAATTGCAATAATTCAACAAAAGCTTTATTAAAACTCGGTAATTAAATAGAACCACTTGATTTTAAAAGCATATGTTAGTTTAAGCTTCTTTTCTTGTTTCAAGTCATAACACGACATTTGATAAAAAAGACAACTAAAACATTTTTTAAAAAATCAAAAAAATTGTTTTCTAAGTAACTAAAGTTTAAAGTTTTATTTGCTGTATATGATAACTCCATTCATTCTTGTAGCACTCCATTCATTTGATATAAAGTTTATAAAAAAGTTGTTGTCTGCCGTTACGTTGCGCCATTTTTATTGTTTTTCATGAATATTATTGGCGAACCTCCAAAATACTATATTTTTAAATTATTATAAACGTATCTCTTTGCGTCAACGTATAAAGATTAAGCGTTTAAGTACAGTCTTGATGTCGTTTTCTTATTGTTTACGAAACAAAAGGTTACAAGCATAGTCCCGAAGAATTTCAATGGTGTAATTTTGATCAAGTAGGTTTAGTTTTTCATTATTAACAAAAAAAAGTAAAAGTGATATCGACTTAATTGTTTTATTTATTGAAGAAAAAGTGATCAGGTTTACAATAAATGTTAACTTGTTATGAAATTGTTTATATTATTTAAAAAAAAGGTAATTATAAAAATACACATGCAAAAAATGAGTAGCACAAAAGTTTAAATGAATATTTACAAACAAACAAAAAATGAAGAAAAAAAAATACAAAGTCAATATTTAAAATGTCCTCCTTTGTTTTTATAGCAAAGGTAAACTCGTTTCTGCATCGATTCAACTAGTTTCATGCACATCTCGAGATATCTTCAACCATTACTCATTCAAAAGTTGCTTAAAGTGCTCAGTTGATTGTATTTGGTGATAAGTAAGTTGATTGTCAATCCAAGACCAAATATTTTCAATTGGGTTGAGATCTTGTGATCTAGGGCACCAAGGGATCACATGTATCTTTTTCTGCAAAAAATATTCTTAGATTGATTTAGTTGTATGAGCTGGTGCCCCGTTTTTTAAAAGATGAATTGCTTACTTCAACCATAAAACTGTCTGATTAATGAAATTAAACAAGTTTCCAATGTGCTTTTGTAGTTGTACTGATTTATTTGGCCTTCGAACAGCTCACGCCAATATCTTTGTGAGAAAAACATCCCCAAAGACCAATCAAACCTTAACCGTCTATCGACGTGGTTGCAAAAACAGTTCTGAATATTTCTCAGGTGCAAATCTTTTGACATATATTCTTCCCTTGCGGTTTAAAACTTGAAAATTCTTTATCACTCCAAATGACTTTTAACCAATCTTCAACAGTCCAGCTCAATCTTTCTTTTAACCATATTCGACGTTTACGTTGGTCCATGATAGATAAAATAAGTTTTCTTGCTGCAATGTACGTTTCAATACCTTTTTGCAGCAATGTTCACCTAACGAGCTCTCTGTTTACATTATGATTATTTTTGGACTCGTTGAAGATTTGTGCTAACTTTTTGTAGCTTTGCCTAGGATTCTCTCTGCAGATTCTGAATATGCTACTTAGGCCCCGGTCACTGAACTTCGACTCCCGGAACGTGGCTTTTTTTTGTATGCAAGATTCAGAAACCCCAAGTATTTTGCTTATCTAAACGTTGCTGTGAACATTTGACTTGAACATACCAATAATTTGTCATTTGATCTCACTTTAAATTGGTTTTTGCCCCATTTGCACGCAATTTGAAATTGTTTGAAATTGGTAATTATTTCAGTTGATTTTAGTTGAATATGAAGCTGTTTGATAATGCTGTGACGAGTGTTTTGACTAAATAAAAACCACCCAATCTACTAAAGCTTATGTTTTAAAACAATTTTCGCACCGGGTTAACTAATTAATTAACAAATAATTGAATTTGAAAAAACTCGTTTAAACTTTTGTGCTACTCATTTTTCACTTGTGTATTTTTATAATTTACTTTTTTTTAATTAATATAAATAATTTCATAACAAGTTCACATTTATTGTAAACCTAACTACTTATTCTTTAGTAAATAAAAAAAATTAAGTCGACATCATTTTTCCTTTTTTTTAAATAAGAAAAAACTAAACCTTCTCGATCAAAATTACACCCTCATTTAAACGTTCATGAATAACTGTATATATTATTTTTATTATTATTATTATTAGTATTATTATTATAACTTCATCATAACATGTGTTGATATAATACTTTAAATTTAATTTAACTTATGTAGTTATATATTTTTTTTATATTTGATACAAGCTAACTTGACAATGTTTAATGCCAATATTTTTTAGATACACCAAATGTCTTCCGCAAAAATAAGTGCAAAACGTTTTTTGAAAAAGATGCACCGCATAGTTTGGCCAAACGGCGCTTACTCTTTAGTATACTAAAATCAGTAGCCGCTATCAGGTGCAAACAAGTTCCAAAAATGAATCGATTTGTTTTGACATATGTGGATGCATTCGCTGGTAAAGGGTACTTTGGTAAAAGGATACTTCCAGAACCTTGTGATGACATTTGTCAATGGGGAACTCCTTTAATTGCTTTACATGCATTCATTGAAGAAATTAATGCGCAAATAAATAATCAAGTTAGTATCGAATACAAAGAAGAAACAACATTTAAAAACAAATACACAGATAAAAAAATATTAGAAGAAATTTTATGTTTCCGCTTTATTTTTAATGATACTGATAACATCGATGAACTCAAGGAATTTATAACTGATTATCTTAAGACTAAGACAGGTTGGAAACTAATATGTACCGATGAGTTCATATATTTAAGTAAACAAACTAATGATCAGTTTACTCGAACAATAGAGATCGAGTTTTCAAAGTCAAAGTTTAAAAAAATGGAACCTAAATTGGAAAGTATTGAGGGACCAGCATTTTTTTTTCTCGATCCTTTTGGAATAAAACTACCTTTAAGAATCATAAGAAAACTAATAAAAGAAGAAAGAGATGTAATTATTAATTTGAATGTAAAGTATGCAGCCCGGTAAGCACAAAAAACACTTTGCACATATATATATATATATATATATATATATATATATATATATATATATATATATATATATATATATATATATATATATATATATATATATATATATATATATATATATATATATATATATATATATATATATATATATATATATATATATATATATATATATATATATATATATATATATATATATATATATATATATATATATATATATATATATATATATATATATATATATATATAAGCATGAACTTAAAAATATTTGGAGTTTGTTCTATGTCTGAAGGATAGTTTTATGACGTCTGAAGGATAGTTTTATATAATTTAGTTTTTATAAATTAGCCTTTGTTTTACTTCAGCTATTTAATTATTTATTTAGAGTTATTAAAAATAAAAAAATGGTAAAACTTTGGAATGAAATTTTTGGTTCTAAATTTAATAAGGAATCAATTTCTAACAAAACCTCAAAAAAGTATTGTGAAATTGCAAACTACTATTGTAAACTGCTCAAAGGTATGAACAAACAAACAAGGCTTTTTACAACTAAGTTTATACTTAGAAAAGGAAAGCTTCGTCCAGATAATGCAGAACTATTTAACCTTGTATTTGCAACTACTAGCCTACTGGTGTTGCAAAAAATTAAGTTTTCAATTCAGCGGCATAATCAAACCAAAGGTGAATGTTCCTTTTCCGATTACTTCAGTATTAACGGAGTATCAATACCTGAAGGTAGAAAAACAGATGATTCTTATGAAGCTAACGTTATATACAAAATGTTTTCCAACAAAGGTTCAGTTAGACTTGGAAAGTTAAAAAAACTTATTATCGAAAAAACGCCATTTCCGTATCATACAAAAGCGTTAAGAAAACTTGAAAAAGATGATTCTATAGCTGTAACTCCACTTGATTATTTAGATGAAAAAGTTTTAAGAACAAAAAAAAGTTTTTGCAACGAAGTAAGTCACAATATATATGATACCGACCTAAAATACGGTAACTTCTGGATTATCGAGTTTAAACCAAGGTATAACTGGAAAATTTTGAAATATGAAGTAATAAAACCAAATCGATAACTACTAATCTTATTCATTCTTAGTTGCTATGGAGACTTTGTTTTTTTTTAAATAAATACATCATTATTAATTTTTTTTTCTGTTAATAAAACTTCCTTTTAAAATTTAAAAAAAAATCAAATGTTAAAAAAGTAATACATTAACAAATACAAATAATAATTGATTAAAAAAAATAAAAACATTCTTAATAATACAAACTTTCGTTGTTAAATTTGCTTTATATATTATCTGCAATTCATATGTAATAAATAAAAAGTAAGCAAAATGTTCAATGTTGGTTGTATTTTATTCCTCACATTTTTAGTCGTTTAGTTTTTATTCTTTTTATTTCAAAGATTAAAAACTATATACTAAAAACCTTGCTAGCAGAAGCACAACATTTAAAAAAAAAAACACCAAACGATAGTTTACAACTTAAAATCAAAAGAAGAAGTAAGAATTAACATGTTGCGTTCCTAAATGCAACATTTCGTTAATACATTAAATTTTATCTTTTTATGTATTTCCCAATAAAGAAAAAAGCCTTATAAAAATATGGCTTCACATAATACTTTAAAGCGACTTTAATTCAAGTACTTGAATGTTATAAAACCTTTTTATAGTTAATTAAAAGTGTGTGTGTGCGAGAGTTATTTTATTATTATCAATTTTATCAGTTATTGTACTATTAATATTAGCAGGTAATTTGAACGTTAGTTGTTTGCAAGTTTATATTTTACAAATTCTTTGTTTAAAAGTATTATTTTAAAACAAAAAAAATTTCATATTTATCAAGCATTAAGCTTAAGAAATAATTGATTACGTAAACATAATCAATAATTATAATACATTATTTTTAAGCATTAAGCAATGGTGTTTATAGCGTTTAGTCATAAGGTACTTTTGCAAAGATTAAAATTTGAATAAAAAATTAATTTTACCGTCCGAAAAAAACAATTTACCGTCTATTCCATGTGTTAGCTGATTGAATTGACCGCTCGTATTCGATTTCTTATTTTCCACGAAATTTGAAATATCTTTTAATCTTGTGTATATTAATTTTTTTAATACGCTGCTTTTTAATCGGTTAGTTTAATTCGTTGAATAAATTTATGCCTACAAAATAAAATCTATAAATATCCGGTAATTTATAAGAAGGTTAAACTTATGAGACTTGTTAAAGTAAAACTAGAAATTTTATTTTTTATCAAGTATGTATTTACGTTTTATCAAGGTATCCCATGGGTGGTGTACCTTGATACGCACTATAAACATCAGTAAAAAAGTAAATAAAAAGTATAAAACATAGAAAAAAGGCTGATTTTAATATGAAATATTGGAAAATCAATATTTTTAACCCAAATAATGCATCCAATGGTCCAAATCACATTTTAGAAGACCAAAAATATATCGTTTTAAGTATCATTTTTTAGCGTCAATAATTAATGGATTTCGAAATGCGATCTCCTTGTATTATATTTACATAAAATTTTTTTTATTTGACTATAAATGTTTTTAAAAATGATTTTTAGAATTGCTTATGGAATAATATTTTATAGTTGGAGGGCAAACGCTTTATCAAGTTATCCCGTACTTCCTTATAGAAAACAATTACTTAATTTTAG